TGTGTCCATAAATTGATCGGAGAAATGTTAGAGAGACACGATCTCGCGAAGTGAGTACGCGAATAATTCCAAATGCCAAATGAAAAGAAGCACGTGGACACGTTGACATCTTTCGCGCATTACCTTAACCAAACGCGATATCACGTCTGATATGTGATCCGACGTTATCGTCGAGTATTTTTCTTCGAGCGACGGCAACCCTTGCCAACAACGTCTTTCTCCTCGAGACGGTCAGAAATTATTCAGCCAACTCATCTCGCCGTTCTCGATTTATCCCGGAGGTCAATGCACTCGTGCCCACCGCGCAACCACATCATGCCACTAACCGCGAATGATATTTAGCGATTGCCCGAGTGAAGAATGTGACTTCCCTGTTCAAAGATTCACGCGCGCGGCCTCGTTGAGTTTGACGTGCACAGGTGGTGCTCTCTCGGTTCGCGACACGCGCGCACGATATCAATCTTGCACATCCCGCCTAAATGTCGAAGTTCCGTCTATTATTACGCGATCGACCGTTTGTTGAATGCATGTGTGTTACGTATGTGTGTGTGTATATATATATATATATATATATATATATATATATATTATATACAGAGTGTCTGAAAAATTTTGACACAGCCGAAATGTGAACATAGATTCGATCTGAATAGAAAAAAATGTCAAAATTTTTCAGACACCTTGTACACGCGCACGTGTGTGTGCGCGCGCGCACGTTCTCAAGAATTGGCGGAAATTACACGTCTCGTCGGTTGTAAGTCTCTGCATTTTCCGCGATCTTGCGATTTCTTTTCTTCACCTTTCCGCCTGAGGTAGTCGTGGTGTTTTTATTCCTCTTATTTTGTTTTGTTTTACGACTCACTCCTGTTACTCGTTGTGAGTACACAAAGCGGGTATAACAGGTGCGGTTAAAGAGCACAGACCCAATTTCGCAAGTGCCAGGATCTAATTGGTAACAACCGCGGAAATTATGAAAAACAGGAAAACCGCGGAACGACGGGGGAAAGCTCGGGAAAGCGCGAGAGACGCGATTTTTCAGTCGGATAAGCATCCGCGAGTGTACCGGTCGCTCCCGCTGGTAATAAGCGCCCGTTTCCTTGTCGCGAAATCTCGTCTCTCGCTTTCGCACGCGCGCCAAAGCGCCGAGGGGCTGCGGCGCGAAACACGAAAAAAAGAAAGAATGGAGAGAAAGAGAGAGAGAGAGAAAAAAGCAACAACAACAGGGGGACGGTACTCGAATCAACTCGCGTCCGACGACTATTTGTCACGCGGCACGGCTCGCCGTTTCTTCATGAGGTGCGCTCGGTTTACGCATTAATCCAGCTAGATGAGAGTAAAAAAATTGTGCAAACAACGTTTCAGCGTAGGCAGCCGCTGCTTTATCCTTTCTCCGCCCTCTTTGTCCACCCGCCGCCCTTTTCCGACGGCCTCCTCCTCTTATAACGCGTGCCGTGTTCGCGCGCGAGTTCGCTGTGACACGCAAGCTCGTAATTAAGCCCGAGCTTTAATTTATCGCTTGTAATCCGTAATTGTCAACGGCGGAGGAATGGGGGGGAAAAAAAAAGCGGCCGCGAAATAATAATGCTAATTCGCGCAAACACCGGCCCGAGAGAGAACGAATGGCTGACTTCGCGGCGATTAAATGAGCGAAGAGTTAGCGGCGATGAACGATCGAATACTCGGAGGAATCGAATAATCGTCAAAACAAACGAATTAATCCGAACAGATTTGACGCGGATATGGAAAGACGAATAAATCTCGGTGTCAGTCACATATCGGATTACGCGGGTCATTTAATTACAAATCGGGTTGATTGCACTTTTTCGACGTACTCAGTGCAGTATGTTGTTTTTTTTTGTATCACCGAATACGTGTATCCTTTAATCGTTATTATTTAATAACTAAACGCGAGAGAAAATATATAAAATAATAATTTGATTTAAATACTCGCTTGAAATGTACTTCATTGGTTTTTTTTTTCTCTCTCTCTCTCTCTCTCTCTCTCTCTTTCTCTCTCGTGTATATATACTTTATTATTTGAACAGTTTTTATCCGGGCTGTAAAAGTAAAAATTTCCGTAAAAAAGTTTTTTATAATTTCCGCTCCATTACGCTCGGGGCATCGAGATCGTGTTTTACTGAAACATTAAACTGATGAACCAAATCGATCGATATGTCAATAACGTGCGCGTATACGTATAACCCCGCGTATGAATAATGAATTTCATCCATCCGAATATCCTGGTGTCTTAATAATTTAACTTCTCTATTTCTCCGACGATCGTACTCGCGACTTCGAAAGGGAGGGTTCTGAGACGCTCCCCGTCTCTAGCTATATATAAGAAGTAAACACGCAACGTTTGCACATGTAACGTGTTACGTGAAAAGTTTTTCTTGATGGCGGTGGTCGCCGCGCGCACATTATGTCCTCCTCCCCCTCCCCCCACCCTCAGAAGTGGCAAAGACGACGGCGGCGGGACTTTGGGGAAGTCGTGAGAAATTAAAGTCGCCCGCGCGCAGAAGGAGAGCTAGACGCGATCCATAGCGTCTCGACTCGACTCGCGCCTTTTAAAGTCCACCGGGGTCGCAAGGTAGGGGATATTGCGGTCGCCGAGGGAAATAAATCGCGCGATATGGGACGCGCGGCTGGCGTGGATTTTACGAGGGAGAGACTTTAAGAATGCATCTCTCTCGGAAAAAGAAACCGACTCCGATCCCGCGGACTAATCCGCGTGCGAAACGTTCGTTTTCCATTTTCCGGACGCGACTGCCGTTGCTGATAACTCACAAGTAGTTTTCTTCCTTCCAAAGAGAAAACTTGGGTTGAGTCGAGATACTTTAATCGAATAATTTGTAGATGAAGTTTCAGTCCGGAGGATTTTCGTCGTCGCGTGTCCTTTATGAGAAACGAGAGAGAGAGAGAGAGAGAGAAAGAGAGAGAGAAAGAAAGAGACACGCCTTTCGGAAAAGATCTCGTGCTTACCTTTGTAATCGAATTAGCGAGTGCATATTTTATTACGTTCTACATAAATTATGCGAATGAGCGTAAATTACAACGCTAATGAGAAGCCTCTTCGCTTTACTGTTGTCTCCGGACGTTGATTTTACTCCGGAATATTTAAAAGCGAGAGAAATCGAGACCGAAAATAATGGAGAAACAGGTTCTAAGTTTCTCAAAAGTAAAATAAAATACCGCGATCGTCGATGTAAAAAAAAAAAAAAAAAAACAATTTCCTTCCGAAACATTTACATAAGTTCACAAGACGAGAGAACGAGTTCGACATTAAATCGCGAATTAAATCTAAAAATTCTTTAAACGTAACGTAGACGATTTTTTTTTATTTGTTTTTTTCTTAATCCTCTCGATATTTTTTCAAACGTTCGCATTTATCGATTCGATCGCGGGTGAAATTGAAATTCCGGTGACGACACGCATCTGGATGCGCGCGATGACGCCTCGACGCGGCAAATGCATCATGTATGCGCCAACTCCGTGGCATCATGCGTAGAAGGACGTGCCAGCGGCCACGTATACGCACAGTCACATTCCTATATATCCAGTCACTGTGGGGAAAAAAGAGAGAGAGAGAAAAAAGAGACGAAAGAGAGGAGGCGACGGATTCGTTGAAGCGAAAAGGAAAATCGGAGTGTTAATGTAAGTAGAGAACCGGGCCGAGTGTGCCAGAAAGCAAAAAACGCTTGTGACAAAAGAGAGAGAAAGACAGACGGACGCACATGTATGTGCACGGGGGGGTGGTCCTCGCTCCGATGCCGCCGGTCATTTACCTCCGACTTTCGGCCGTCACATATAAGGCGCTGGTCTTGATCGTTTATTTGCACACAGCGGCGGCTTGCACTTTCCTCATTTGCGACAAAGCAAAGACTCCGTTTTCGGATTTTAAAGAAGAAAAGACAAACAAGGTGCGAATTGTTTTAAGTCCTGAATTCACAAAGTAGTGTAATTTCAATCCGATTTCGACACACAGAGAGAAAGAGAGAAATGTTTGTAAATGCAAATTTTATTTTTAACAATTTTATTTTGGCAATATTTGACATTTCAACAAGAATCGCGTTTTTGCTTTCCGAAGCGCGTGCTTTAATTCTGCGACTTTAATGAAAATATTCGTTCGGGTAAACCGCTCAGAACAAATCGATTTATTTACATGCACATTACATTACGCAAAATTACATTTGTACAAAATTCGAGCATTGATGTGCGGGATGAGATGTGTGTGTATAGTTTTAAAATATAAAACCATACGCGTTGTGTAATAAAATCCTGCTATGGAAAACATTTTATATACAAATATATATACATACATACATACATACATACATGCATACATACATACATATACATATATATATGTATATATATATATATCTTTATTAAAAAAAATTGCAAACTCCAGTCGCGTCGCGGAAAAGCTAACGTTACGCAAAACGTGCGTGCGCGCGGAAATAATCTGGGAGAAAATAAAATGGTTGCGCGCAAACTAACGGGCAGCGGCAGGGTGGAGCGACGGGGTGTGTGCGGAAAGCGAAAAACAAAATAGTATAATTAATACACTCCATACTTTCCATTCCGGGCCCCCTCAATTATCGACACATCCATTCTGTCAGTGTCGAAGTGTAGTTAATGAAAGCGAACGAGTTGGATCGCGCATCCTGTGTGCCGGGGGCGTGGGGGTTTGCTACGGGGGGAAAGAGGGAAGAGAAAGAGAACGGGGAGCGAGAGCACATGCGAGGAAGAGCGGAAAGAGGATGAAACGAGACACGGACCTGGTGTAGAATGTTGGAGCCCGGAGTGTGGAAAGAGAGAAGAGCGCAGAGCCCGCGCGCTCCGACGGTAACACGAGTCGCGCGACTGCTGCGAGGGCGAGAGCGCGGGAAGCCGGCGCTTGCGGCGCACCGTACGACGGAGGAAGGGGTTGATGGTAGGGGATTCGTAGTGGGGAAAGAGACGCGCCAGGCAAGGCAACACACCGGCCGCAGCATCCGTCTCGCGTCAGTCGGCTGCCGGATTTCGTGGCGCGTGTTCTTCGTGCCGTGAGGACAGAATCGGCTTCGTTCTCGAAGCCGGGTCATTGACGGTCTGCGAACAATTGCGCGCATGTTTTCCGAGTAACCGATTTATCTCGGCACGATCGTCTGTCCGATCAGCTAGCTGTTACTCGCGATCTCTTTTTTGAGAGACAAAAATTGCGAGAAAAAATAAAAACTCACTCTGACTTTGTATTAAAAAAAAAAAAAAACGTGCTCCCATTGGTAATCAATCGGCATCGGAGAAACCGGTCTCTTTATATTCGTCTCTCTTTCTCTCTCTCCCTCTTCCCTATTGTGCTCCGATTCGCTTTTGAATCGGTGTTGGATCGAGGGAGGGTTTCATTCAACGCGCGATTCTTCCGTGACTTCCTGCGTTTTGTCGTCGTCGCGTCGTCGTCGTCGTCGTCGTCCCACTGGTCAGAAATTTCCCCAAGATTTTTATCTGCGAAGTGCCGGGTGAAATCCTAGCAGTCAGGTACGTGGCAAACATTTTTCTCGCACTCTATATATGTACACACGTCGTGCGGAATGCATGTCGAATGCGCGGCGTTCGTGAGTGAGTGAGTGAGTGTGTGTGTGTGTGTGCGTTTATCTCGCCGGCTGATGATGGGAAACGTCATTCCCGCCTGCTCGAGACAGTCCGCAACTTGACCGCGTTCTATTCTCGGACCGAAGTTTCGAGCATCACGGGTCTGGAGGAATAAGATGGGATGACGTAGCCGTTTAATGTCGCTAACAGTGTACTCCTGCACTGGTAAATTAATAATCCTCCGGTATTCAGTAAAACACTGAGCGAGGCGCTGCGCGCGCCACTCTCTCGGTAATTGTGAGTAATGTAAAAACATCACGTGCGCAGAGGCAAATGATAATCGTTAATGTCGCAATTAATATTGTAAATTTTGTTATTAAAACGCACAAATTCGCGTACTGACAACACGTTCGCGTATACGACTCCCAGATGATACGAGCATGCAAATTGCTCGTTTACAACAGACACAATATTATCGCGTGTTAATAATTCACAAATCCAAGATTGGTGGAACAAACATCTCGCAATTAGGCGCGCAATTTTTGCTTGATGAAATTTATACGTCGAATAAATTCAATTATTTTGTCAAGAGTTCATCGACGATCAGGATTCATCGTGAAAAATAAATCGGGTAACGATTGACGTGAAAATTCTCTTTCGGAAGAAATCATCCTCCGCGTGATTATCGAAGAAGAAATTTGAAAACCTCTTCGGTTCTCTCTCTTTTTCCCTATCCCGTCAAGAAAAACCATTCCGGTTAACGAGTTCATCGAATGACGAATCGTTCATCGACACCGCTAAATGACGTAATGTCCGCGTTGTATCATCTCCGTTGATTTAGCGTGCGGGAGATGACCTGAGAATCGCGTCTCTCTTTTTATACGGTAGCAGTAAATGCGAGGTCACCCCTTTGCCCCGTGGCACTGTTTATCTTTCATTCAACGGTTCACGCACACGACAATAAGTCCGTCGTCGCTAAGGCAACACGTTTCGATCGTTTTCTTGTGCGTTTTTCTTTTTTCTTTTTTTTTTTCGCGAAAAACTACACTAACTTCCTCTATCGACGATTTTTCCGAACGCGACAACAAATTATCAGCTTTCGTCGCAAGTGTGTATATATTGCCTTGTCTAGTTGTTTCAAGATATTATTTGTTTTCGCTGGGTGGCGTCTCGAGGAAGACGTGATGTATGGATATATTATTGACGTAATGGGAACACAGTATCTCTCATTCTCTTTCTCTCTCTCTCTCTCTCTCTCTTTCTCTCTACGCGACCCGTTTATGTTTCGCTTGTAATACGTCGAGTAATCTCCATTGTGATAATTGACAGCCGCGGCCACGTGGCCCCCTTTCTCGTTACGTTGCAATAACGCGCTTCACAAACGCGTGCAATACGAATCGCGGGATTATCTGACGATTGACCAGAGAGAATCGACCTTGAAACGAAACACGCGTCCCAGCGTTACACGCGTTAGTTACATCACGCGTTATACGGCTATAAATAACCTAACCTAACCTAACCTAACCTGTTCCTGCTCTCTACCGCAATGGTCGTTGCTCCTGTTAAATTACGTCAAGCGTGTATAACGGCACATGTATATCGGGAGCAAAACTGTTCCCTGAAACATATCCCTGGTATTTATTGTTGAAGTGTTCTTGTATCACAATTGTTGTAAGATCGAATTCGAATACTTTTCACACACTTGTGCTTATGTAATTTTCAGTCAGTATATTTTTATATATATATTATATATTTTTTAAATATATTTTTTAAATATAATATATATATTTTATATATAAATATATTATAAAAATACTAACTCTATGTGCAAAAAGAAAATTGTGTCGGCACTCGGCTGTAAAAAGAAATGAACTCATTAATTTTTCATGCGTCTACATGTCATTTAATTGGATTATCGGAGCCGCGACTCTATTTTTGCTTTATCAGAGCGAGCGAGCGAGCGCGCGAAATGTCAAATAGCACGCTGAAACATATTTAGCTCGTGAGAAAAACAGCACGCTCGCTTTTTCGCGTTATTTAGAAGTTTGAAAGTCGCATTGCGCGTCGTCCCTCTTTCCCTCCCTTTTTCCTTCGCATTTGCGTCCGAGTTACTTGCATCGCCATTAAATTGACACTCACGCCCGCGAAGTTTAGCAATATAGATTTAATGAACAGAGAGGCGTTCTCGCAACTTTTTGGCGCGCTCACAACTTTTCGAATTTTGTTATATCGCGCGGATCAACGGTTTTTTGCACGCGTCCGACACTTCATAACGTACTTTTTTTTTTGTTTTTTTTTTGTTTTTTTTTTCAAGTGTCACATGGTAAAACAAAACTACTGTAAAAAAAATAGTGCATTTACAGCGAGACAAAACGATGAAAAAAGTGGCAGAACTTTTGGCGTTTATAACCCCGTCGGTTTTTGGCGCGCGACGAGAAAATGTCACTCGTCTCGTAAAATGTCGCAGCTGTAAAAATAACTGAAAACAATCAATTTGCAGGAAACAGTTTTGACATGTCGCGTAGACTGTGCTGTCATCGACTGCGTTGTATCGGTTTGAAATAGATGTGCGCGAGGGGATAAAGAACTTCGCTTTATTTCCACGCAATGTTACGAGGCAGAAAAGTGTACGAACCACCGCGAAAAATAGAATCTTAATTTGTCACGATTTCTTGTATCGGTTTTATATAAGATACAAACAATGACAAGTACGAATTATTATTGCGAGATAAATATAAATCTTATTTATTTGAGAGAACAATAATTTCTTCAACCGCATTCATATTACAAAACAAAATCCTGTGTATTGACCGTTCTACTTCACCGCGTTTATATTTGCTCATCCTATTTTTTGCGTACTACTTCCTTACGATGCGGTTAAAAATGCATTTAGAAATTTCGGGCGAATAAAAGCTCGGAGAGAAAAGAGGGAAGAAGAAACTGTACTTGGTGAGCTTGCGCGACCAGTAAGTTATTTCGGCGGTGCCGGCAATTCGCCGGAAATTGCGTTTTAAAATTTCGTAATACGCGAGAAGTCGCTCAATGCAGTTAGGGCCATTCTCTTTTATGTCTAACTCGACGATACTCGGCGAAACGAGCCACTGAATTTTTCTTTTTTTTTTTTTTTGTTGCCTCCTTATTCCTTGTCGAGACCTGCTTGCTTACCGTTTTATTTCTCTCCTTATTTTTATTTTAGTTTTTTTTTTTTTTTTTTTTTTTTTTTTTTTTTTTTTTTTTTTTTTTTTTTATCTTTTTTCTCTACATGTGATGTGCGCGCTCACTCCGCTTTCCACCGAGAAGAAACGAAGGAAGAATCCGGCGCTTTTCTCTCCTCTCAGCACGTGTCGCGTTTCGTCGCGCTTCCGTTCTCTCGCGTTCGTTGTTACATGTCGTCGAGCGGCGCGTTCTCGCGAATTTCACGAAACGTTTGAGCCGGAAAGAAGGAACCGCGCGCGCGCGCGCGATACAGATAATGGCATTCAGTTTGTATCTCGCATCTCGTTGCAGCTTTAACACGTCGCTTTTCGCGGAACGGCGGCGGCGCGGACGGTGCGATTTTCACAGCGACGCGCGCGCGTCGTTTCTTTTCCTTTTCGTAATATGAAAATTTTCATTCCCTCCCACTCTCGCCCAAGAGTGGCGTTTACTTGTCTCGTGTGTTTTCGCGGCAGCAAATTTTGACAAAGTGACTTTGCAGCGCGGTGCGCAAACTAAATTGTTGTTTGCGAAGTTATGATCGCTAAAATTGAGATGCCGGTAAAAATTAAAGAATGTTCCACCGAGCGCAATTAAAGAGGTGGAATTTATTGCTTCCACGATCGGTTTGTACAGAAAAAGTTTGTAAGAATTTTTGTTCTTTTTTTTTTTTTTTCACAAAGTCGAGAGGTTTCCTTTCATGTTAAAAAAGGGGGTAAGTTTTAAAAAATTTTTGAGATACCTCGCGTAATAGCAAAATTGTTTCCTTCCGGGAATTTTTGCCACGCCGAATAATTCATGCGAATATCGACCGGGAGCAAAACGATAAAATTTCCTGTTACGAGCTAATTTTGCTTCATAAAATCGCTTCTTCGTGGCGTACAGCTTGCATGCATTTCCCTCAAAAGCGAAATTATTGCATGCGTGACACGCAGGTTCTCTTATTGGTAATTACCGTAATGAAACTTTGTGATAAACCATTGTTTCAGGAATCGAAACACGCTCTTTTTCATTCGAGTATCGAGCGTGATATTTTAGCGTTCGAAAATGTTGCGCGTTGTTGGTGAGAGAATATTCAGCGACTCTTTTGCGACTTGTATTTAAACTCCGAAAATATTTTTACGTTATATTGAGAGTTTTATTCTAGTCTCACTTGCATGAGTTTTTAATATTCGTCAAAAAGTTCGCAACACTTTCTTGCCATATTGCTCGCGAAACGAGTCCGAAGTATATTTTACTGTGCCAAATGACGGAGTCACTTGAACGCAATAATAATACGCAGTTGTTACAAGAGATGTATGTACCGGATACCGTCAAAATCTGTGTGTTCCGTCCGAGGGTTCTTGTAACGTCCCATTCTCATAAACATCCGCCCCGCGCGTGTGCTTCTCCTGGCTTTAAAGCGCGCTCCTCTTCTGTAGCCCGGGGCTTTTACAACGAGAAATTTTAAGCGCACACGCCATCGTCATCGTGTTGCTCGCTCGTAAATAACAGCGCTCCTGTTGGATCCCAGGGACTCGATCTACGCCGTTGGTCCGCGTTTGTCCGAATCCTCGTGTGAAAAAAAAAAAAAAAAAAAAGTATTTTCCCCGTCGCACCTCAATCATGAAACGATGAAAAAAAAAAAAAAAAAAAAAAAAAAACCGAGAGAATAAACGGTGTCGAGAAGGTTGGGTTGCAATCGGAGCAAATCGCAGCCGGGGCGCGAAATTAGCTGAAAAAACGGTGAATTCTGTAGTTTTTTATTTTAT